ATAATTGCATTAATTAATATGGTAGTATACTTGGTAGAAAGTGCAATCCACTCTTCATAGTAATGTTCTTAAGAAGTAGAATTTATGACATTGTTCCTATTTGCTAAGAATATAGACCAACTTCTTTTTGCATCTGAAACAAAATATCTTTTGGAATTTATTATTATTTTTTTAAATATGCCATACATAAAATAAAATATTAAAAGTAAAAAAATACTTTTAATAGAATTTATTAATGCAAGATCTCTATTAGACCTAATACAGATGGATCTGATATTTTCATACAATTATAGCAATTGTATCAATGTCCAACAAAAAATAATCTTTGTCCCTTTTTAGAAGAAAACAACAATCACTATGAAAGAAGTATTAAAACTTGTAATTTCTACTACATGCAGATTGGCATCTTAAATCAATTTTTTTTATAAGTGCAATCCATGATAATAGAAGATGTGTATCTTTTAACTAAATCAACACATTTTGCATATGCAACAAAAAGTGAAGTTATCTTATTTTCATCATGAATGTATATTGATAACCATCGTCTTATAGAATATCCTTAAGAGAGAAGATGGGAGCACAACAATCAAGTGCAATTTTATATAAATTTTGATATTTATTGTAAATAGTGTGAGGATTTTTCTCATGTATAGCTATCACAATATTTTTTTGGTGGTACACTTACTGAAATCAGGTGCGTTTTCATTTCCTTCTCTACAGGTTGAAGTCATCTAACAAATACATGTTCAATAATAGAAAAAATCCACTCCTCTTATTTCTTTTGATTCCTTTAATGATATAAGATAAAATTTACAGTTACAACTATTTTTTGTCATTGTGGATTGATTGAAAAGAAGATGAAGTAGTAAAGAGGAGAAAAGGGTAACAAAGGTATGGTTTTAATGGATTTTCAGTTACTACTACCACTGCTACTATTTACGACAATGAAATATTAAAAAATTAATTAATTAAAAATATGACATGGCACCGGAATAGAATCCCCCCTGACCCTGAGCGCACATGGACTCTGACAATGCACTGTGATGGATGAACGAGTAATTCTCTCATTCATCCACATATGCATCCATCCATTCACCCATCCCTGACAGTGGGCCGGGCATGTGAACGAGGTGGTGGGGAACGCGTACCCTATGGGGATTGATGAGGTTCCCAAGTGTCCCAGAGAGTGGAGCCCCCACGGCACTACTAGTCTCTCTCTCCCATTTGTGGCATTTAGTTATCATGTCCCCCATCACTTTAAAGCCAGGTACTCCCTGGTGTTCCCCTGAAGTTCCCTTGACGTTCTCCTGGCTCGTTCCTCACCCCACCACTCCCCAAATTGTATGCATCTCACAAGTAGCGTCTGTTGATGGGACCACATGAGTGGGCACCACCTGAATAGACGACGTGTCATATCCCCCCAGTCCCAGGGCCAGGAGTGTGACTTGGGAGAGCTTCGAGGTCTTCGTCGTCGTCGTGGTCTTCATCGTGGTCTTCATAGTCTTCATGATCACATGGTGTGGATCACTCAGAACTCTGCCTTGCCTGCCCGTGATGTTCGTACTGCCCGAGGAAGAGTTGAGTTGGGTAGTGGGGGTTTTTGCTGAATGGGCTGGACTGGTCGGGCTGCCCGTGAAGAAACATATATGGTTGGGATTGTAAATACAGCTGGGCTGGCTGGCTTTGTGCTTGACCGACTGCCATACTCCCTGTCTTATGCCAACTGATCACTCAAGTTAGTGGAGATCCTGCCAAGGCCTGCCCCCCCCCCCTGCCCTGCCCTGCCTGCAGCAGTGAAGACCCATCATCACCATTGAGCTGATTGAATGCAAAAAGCTTAGCTCAGCCAGCACTGGGTTTTGCAAGCCTTTTCTTTTTTCTTTTTTTAGTTGAACGAAATCGACATTTTGACTGGTCATAGTTTGATTTAGACATTGGGTGTGTAGGAGGATTGACTAGTGTGTAAGTTGATATTAGAATTTACGTTTTTATCTTCTTCTATTGTTTTTTTTAAACTATAAGGAGGATATTTAGTAGATAACAATTCAATGTACTCAATGTCATAACAATATGCATGTCTCTGAAACTCATCTTATGATTTGTGGTGGCAATATTCGATTCTTAAAGCAAACAGAGAAGTGTATTTTATTTTGTTATAATCAAGAGGAATTAACTTGATGGTAGGAAAATATTTAAGTATACTCAAATTTTGTATTCAAGAGATGGAAATAAAACAAGGTATTTGAAGGGAGTAAAATAATTAAATTTGAACTATTAGTGTATAAGGTGAATAATTTGTATGAGAAGTTTATTAGAACAACATAGAATTGTAATAATTTGTAGATTTATAAAATAAAGTAAAATTGATGTACTATTTAAGGACTATAGAATGGAAGATTGAATTTAAAATAAAATAAGAAATATTCTAGAATTTTTAGTGTTGTAAATTCAAGAGACATTGCTAATATGGTTTAAAACTTGTGTAAGAAAAATTGAGCTTTAATTTAATTTAGTTTATAAAATGTAACATTATTAAAATCTATACATCATTCAGTGAGTTTTTCTTTTTCTCTTTCTTTTTCAATTTTTTCAATTTTAATGTTTTTACACTACTTTTTCTTTTCTTTTCTCTTCTTTTCTTTCTTAACATCTACATTCATAGAAAAATCAATACAATCATTTTTTAAAGTTTATGTTAAGTCATTTTGCTAAAACAAAGCCCTTGTAAACTTTTAGTACTTCTAAGAAAATATACAATTATCTTGTTTTGTTTTGTTTTGTTTTTTTTTGTTTTTTTTCCTAATTACAATCCAGTTTATATCTCATATTTCCTTATTTCCACCTTTAAATGATCCATTTTCCTAACATTTATACCTGGAAGAAATAGTTTTATAATGCCTTGTTCTCAATTGTACCAAACCACTACTAATTCTACAAATTATAACATAGACTTTTTTTCCCCCACTCTTTGGTTTCATGGGCAGTTATAAGGAAAAATGGTACACAATCCTTCACTTTCACAACTCTACATGGTTGGAGCCTTAGCTACATACTGCTTTTGCTTGCAAGAGCTCCAAGTACAGAAGGCCCAAAGCTGGAGAGTTCCATTGTCCATATCCTTAAAATATTCTAATTAGTGCTAAATTAAAGTTTTGAAAGCAATTACTGGAGTGGGAACCTCAGTCACAGAATTCAGCTTGCCTACTTATTTACGAGATACATTTATGCAGCAGAGGTACCTGCTGCAGTGAGCATCTCCTGGCCTTAAACCCTAAAAGCTGCAGCTTTCAAGCTTGATGGGCCCCCAAATTCATACCCTATTTTTCCATCTGGAGTATGCTGTTAATTGTGGATATACATATATACATATTTAAAGATAAGAACATTTATTTGTTGTGGACAAGCAACACTTAAGTGGAACGTTAATGGGTCCTAAAAGCAAGTGCAAATTTAACCATTCTAGAGGCCTCTTTGGTACAGCTCATGAAAAAATGATATATTTTTAAATTTGTTTTTATTTCCTTAGTAATTAATAAGAGATAAAAATATTGGTGTACCTCCCAAAATGTACAGTATAAGTAAGATTTTAATTGTAATAAACTACCAATCATCATGCTTCTACTGTGTATGAAAAGGAGTAAGCATGAAACAAGGCATCCAAAGATGTTATTGTTATTGTGGAGTTATGGAAAAGAGACAAATAAAGTGTATGTGGTAATGTAGGATGTGATAACTATGTAATAATAGATGGTAGTTTGAACTTGATTGATTTATCTAATGTAAAGCATGTTTTCATGTGCCTATACATGATAAATGATTGTAGGATTTGGAGATTGACACCAAAAAAAAGTAGTTGAAAAAATTGGAGATGCAAATTTCATCAATGAAATGTAACGTTTATTTTTAAATGGGTGAGTTAGCATCTTAAATCAATTTACCAATTCATCAATAAAATGAAAAGCCTTCAAGTTTGAAAAGATAAAAAAAATTATTTAAACATATTCAAACAAGTTAAAGTTAGTTTTCAGCAAAACTTTTCACTTGCTTTAATATATATATATATATATATTATCATGTATTTAATGAACTTCTACACAAACTGGTGAAGGTACACATTTTAAGGAAGTAAATGCAATTGAACCATGTAAATCCAACTTTTGAAAAAAGTGGGAGAGAAGGCTACATTTGTTTTTGAAAATGGTTTCTATTGGCATAAAAAAAGTTGCACATGATGAGCTAAGAACCTAATCAGAAAAAAATAGATAGAAATATGTATTTTTTCCTTCAAATTAGTATGTTTTATATTTTAATTAATCAAAAATAAAATTAAGAAGTTATAGATTGAGTTTTTTTTTTTTTTTTTATAGCAAAATGATTCATCAACAATCTATGACCCTCAAAATTCATCCATTAACCATTTAACAAAATAAAAGCTTCAAAAACATTTGATAATCCATTCCACAAAGGTCATGCACATAACCACATGAATATATATATATATATAGACACATTTATAGGAGAATGTTAAATAGACCAAGATTTTTACTAAATTGACCTACCCATGATGAAGAATATAATAATCATGATGAATGTGGTTGGTTTTCATTGATTTTAGATCTAGTAGTGGAGAAATGAATGATTTGGATGAATGGGTCAATTTAATAAAAACTTGGATCTATTTAACATTCTCCTATGTGTGTATCTATATATATATATATATATAGATGTTTTTAAATTGAAAGAATATAACACTTCAATGGTGAACTTTCGTTTCCAAGACCTGACACCAAATGAGAATCCACAACCACGTAGTGTGAACGTGCATTAGGTTCATGGAATTATCCAGAAGGAACGAAATGGGAGGTGTGAAAAGAGGATAGAACAATAATCCAGGTGGAAACGAGAGGGAGCGGTGTGAAAAGGGGGGAGAGAATAGGCGGGGATTGGCTTCAGCACCGGCTGTGTTGACTGACTGCGGAGGAGCCAGAAGAAGGGCCAACTTAGATACAGAGAGGTTTTGCAGCGATGGTCGGAGTGGAGTGGAGTGGAGGTTAGTGAGAGCATCGAGAGAGAGAGAGAGAGCAGCAAGACAGACAGCACCGCTGCTGCTCTATCCCGACTCTGCAGCAGCACTCACCTTCTGCTGCTGCTGTGACTCTGAACCTGGCGCTGCTGCTGCCAGCTCCATCACGCCTCTCTCGCTTGTTCTCTGGACAATGTTCCCAACGGGGGACTGACTCTACTGCGCTGTCTTCATTTGCCTCTTAAGATTCACCTCTCTCTGCTCTAACAGTGCCTCTGCCATTCGCGCATTGCTACAGGAACCTTTCGTAGACACTAGGCCCGCATTGAATTCTCGGATCCCATTGGCTCGACAGTAGTAGTAGTAGTAGTAGTAGTAGTGTGCCTGTAACCTGCCATGCAGAGCTTGAACTGGCTCGCATTTTGCATTATTTGCGTAGGGGTTGGTCTTCACGGAGTCTCTTCGCTGGACACTGAAGTACGTGGACTGGCCAAGGAAGTGAAGTAATGAGTGTATTGGAAGGTAGAGAGTGAGGTTGAGTTGTTTTAGACAGGTTTGTCTTTGCATTCTGAGATTCTTTCATGCTCTACTCTTTGGTGCCGCAAGGAAGTGCTTGTGAAATCGGAAGCCGTTTGGAAATCCCTTCGATGACCGAGAGCGAGCGAGCGAGAGAGAGAGAGAGAGAGAGAGAGAGAGTGAGAGTAAGTGAGTTTGTGTGAGATCTTGGTAATTCCAGCCTAAGAGCTCTTTGCTGCGAATACGTCATTCGGTATTAGTCGGTCTGGACATGCTCAGTCCCGAACAAATGAAGTCAGTTTGGCGTGTAGGGTAATCACTCCGTCCCCAAGAACCTTCCGAAACCAGAAACCTGCACATGAAAATTCTTGTCCAAGTTCTAGACGTAAATTACCGAATTCAAACACCGGTCTCATGATCATTCATTGAGGAAGTTCAGAAAATTATACTACAGAAGACGGTCGAAACTGCAGTTTATGAACATGGCAGAAGACAAGGCAGAAGATCCAACAGAGCTACTTAAAACGCTGGCCGAGAATCGAACCATGTTAGAGAAGCAGATCGGATGCTTGGCAAGCTTACTACAGCTTTTTAGCCGCCATCGCACATTAGCTGGTTATCGGTGTGGCTCTAATCGCGCAAGCTCCGTTCACGGTAAGGCCTTTGGCAAGGACGGACGCTCATCTTTGAATTTTTTATTCAAATGTAACTGTGGGGGAAATCTTCATTTCAAATTCCTGCACAGCCATTTTTTTACAGAAAGTTGCAGATAACGCATCAGTATTTGGTGTAGCATGTATGTGTGTAGTTTCGGCTATGTCTTCCAGTCGAAACCTCTGTGACAGCAGGAGGTAGTCCGGTTCTTAACATTCTTGCAAGAAAATTTTTGCGACTAATCCAGTGGCCCGAAAACTGTGTAATATTTACTAGCATATGAGAATTCAAGAGCACAACTCATGATTCTCGACATCCCCTCTCGCATTATTATGTCCCATTTTTATACACAGCACGTTTCCTGAGATGACTTCGCTCAGAAAGCACATTGTATCGTGTTATTGGACATTATTTATTCAATTATTTATTTTCTAATTCCCCTTCTCCAGAGTCTTCAAAGTCCAACGCTTAAACCACTGTGTTCCCTTGATGTTTGCAGAGAAATCATCTTCCCATGCCAGTGATACCCTGGTGCAGGAGGCTGGGAGTACCTTGAAGCATCGTAGGGTGAGTTTCTCTTTTGCAATGCTTCGGTTCTGCTGAACGGAGCATTTTCCAACCAGGTCCCAGCTGGAAACTTTCTTGAGCTTCTCCTTGGAAACCATGAAGTGCAATATCCATATCAGAGAGAGCAATGTATAGTGCTGGCGGTTGAGTTATTTTCATCTTCCAAGTTCCTCACGTATGCTGCAATGAGTTTTGTGCAGTCTGAAAGGAAGCAGCTTGGGCCTAAAACGCCAATATGTACGGAAAATGCGTCTGTGGAAGCTCGGTCACTTCTCGACAAGGACGATATTCTTTCTGAAGCAGCAACTCCTTCCCGGCTTTCCTTCTACTTTGAAAACCAGCCTGCGAAAGCCTCACCGAGGAGAGCATCACCCAATCACTCCCCAGTGCACCACCAAATTCAACGTGTGTTCCCTTCTCAGCGTAGAATGTCTTTAGATAGGAAACCTTCCTACGAAGGTTTTGCGATGTCACCTAATTCCTCTCTCATTCATAATGTTGCGCGGAATTCGTTGAACAGAGAGAAACCGCGAGTGTCAGTGGATAACTCTAACAGAGAGGTGATGGCTGGTCTAATTCGGTTGAAGAACTTGGCTAGATCACGCTCAGTCGGTGGAAGAAATGCATACCCTAGGACATACACGGAGTTTCCAAGGTCAAGTTCTTTGCATGCTCAAAAAAGTCTTGGAGTTCACAGCGATAGCATTGAAGACTCCCCAGGTTTCCTAGCAAGAGAGAGGATAGCTTCGAACCTCACACAGTTGCGACGCTCCGTTGACATTTGCGAGATTCCTAGACTGACTGTGGAATTAGAGGAAGGCCCGGGCGTTGGTTCTTCCAATGAGAGGAGGCAAAAGTTCATTGACTATGTAAATTCAGAATTAAGGAACCCTCACAATCATGAGAGAGAAGCTGTTGAACAAGTAACATTGAATTTGAAAAAATCTCTTCGTTCACTTAATGTGAAAGAGACCTATCGGGCTTTTCAGAAAGAGAAAGCTAACATTCGAAGATCACTCATTGATGGTGATCACCGAAGTTCGCCTCAAGCCTCTGTTGCATCAAGGCTTGATGGAAGGTCACCGCAGAGGGAGCCATCGGTTCCACGCGACGACTTTGAAGGCAGGCGTGGAGGTCCAAACGTTGTTGCACGATTGATGGGACTAGAGGAATTTTCTTCCCCTCCATCTCGGGAGCCCAAAGAAGCAGGATCTATTGGCATGGTTTCTAAATGTCCGTCTCCGGACACCAGGCTTGGAGGGTGCGATGCTTATAGACATGGTCAATCAAGAGAAAGAATTCTGATGCCGAAACATTGTCTAATGGATGGCATGCCTTTTCCCATGCAACAGCAAGAAGCTCTCGAAGCTTTGAAGAGCAAGCATACTACATCTGTAAAACAACTTGACAAGGAATGCCCGTTGCCGAGCGTGCAAGTGTGCAAGTATCCAACGTCCTCTCACGAAGCTCTTCACGCTGGTATCATACAACTACAACAGCTGCGGTTCTGGAACGCAATGGAAGAGCGTGATACTCTAAACCAAATCCTGGGAACCTTACAATTGAAGGGATTATTACATTCGCCTCAAAGAAAGAGCCGGGAAGCAGCGAGTAGGGTGACAAGCAGCAGCCCCACACCAGCATGCACTGACCATGACAATGCTCTTGACAATCCAGCACCTCCTGAATATGGGAGGCTAAAGTATCAAAGCAGAAAGTCGACTTCAGATAAGCACGACGGGACCATAGTCATTATGAAACCCTCTCAGACGAAAATAGACGATGCTTCTCCAAACAAAGTTGCAGATTGTAAATCTAATAGATCTGAAAGTTTTGGGGGGTCGGAAGCAACAACAAGCACTCGTTTCAGCGTCGAGGACGGGTATGGCCTCTCGCTTTTTCCTCTCAATGTTCAATGTTTTCTATGAAATATAAGTTCATTGAACAAGTTAAACTATACGCTTTGTGTGGTTTTGCTGGAACTGTTGTTGCAATGATCGTAGATTTGGTGATTGTACCTTGCTCGTTGTAAGAATGTGTTATAATTTGCAACGCATGCAGAGGACTACCGAAATCTGGTCGTGGAAGGTCGAGAAGCCCTGTGAGATCTTCAATAGCTCAACCGAGAATGAACGACGATGCCCAGTCAGAAAGTCCGTCGCTGCGACATCCTTCATGCGGAGAAGGTTGTCAATCTCAGAAGGTCTGCCTCTCTGTCAAAGCAACATCTGGCCAAAGCAATGCTCGATCGCGATCGCCACAAATGACACATTTTCAAGGTCATGCTTCTCATTTGAGAGATAAAAAAGAATCCAAAGCAGCCCTGGTAACAGTAAGGGGCCAGTCTCCTAGGATGTTGAAGAAAGATGCGGGCTCAGATAAGAAGAACAGCAGGGCACAAACTGCGAAGGTTTCAGCTGAAGTTGTTAGACTTAGTCGGCAATCAAGAGTTCCGGGAAGGGACTTGTCCCCACCGCCTCGAAGATCTTCGCCACTCGTGGGACATCATATCGAGGACAAAAATACAACAGAGAACATTTTAGAAAAGACTAAGCCAGTAGAAGAAACAGTTGCCGCCACACAAGCGGTAACTCTAAAAGAAACCCACTGGCAGGATTGGAAAAAAGAATGCCAAGCAAGAGTGACTGCAGGAGGAGCAATGGACCAAAGCGCAGTTAGTGGGAATCACGATCCATGCGTCGATCGCCATACTTTGATCAGTTCTCCAGCGAGGATAAGAGCAAAGCTGCAGGTTTGCATAGAATGAAGCTCCTTTATTGCTAGCCTCTTACCTCTGACGAACCATGATATTGAAATATCTTCACATCAATAATTCATGCTTTTACTGACTGTATTTTCTCGTCTTTTGTAGACATTAAAAGATCAACAATTCCAGCTGAAGGGTCCTTCCGATGTCGAGGATTCTAATGAAATGATGACGCCTAGAGGTTTTTCAGTGGAAAAAACTCGGGCTCTTGAGAAACAGCAAGGTCTTGAAGGCTGTGAGCAACTAAGTCCCGTGTCGGTTCTGAACAAGAGTATTTTCGAGGAGGAATGCAGTCCGAGTCCTACAGTCACAGTTGTTATTGAAGGTATTTTGCTTCGCCGTCTGAAATACTTGATTAACAAGTGTTACATGTCTGTTAGTAGTGTCCATTAAGAAGCCATTTGACATCTTGAATTTGTTGAATGCAGATACTTACGAACCTAAGGAATGTGGCCTTAAAACAAGAGTCGAGAATTCCGACCAGACTGCGATCACCTCATCGACGTCTGTTGAAATTAAACATGTGACTCATGTACCTCCTCCGGAATATTGTGATCATCACGACCTGCCTGCTGAAATACGACCTCCATTAAACACCAGTGTCATGCGCGACCATAGTGCCACGCCTTCATCGAGCAGAGACAACCTAGACAGGGATCTCGCAGACGTGCTTCTAATGCTTTCAGGAGTCGAGAAGGCGAATTGGTTGAGCGACACGTTTTCCTCCGGATTGTTGCAGGATTTCGAAGGGAATGACCATGAACGGGCCACAGGTCTTGAACCACCTGGAAATGCTGATCTCTTCAGCAAGTGCCACCGACAGGCCCTATTCGATTTTACTTTAGAATTGTTGACAACGAAGATGACTGAGCACGAGAATTTCCTGCCATGGATCAACCCAGCTTGGGCGGGTACAGGGCAGCAGCTCAAGAAACAAACCCTAGCAGATGCAATATGGAAAGAACTGAAAGAGTTTCCAAGTGCTGCATACAATGACGAATGTGAAATCGTGAAAGGCATTCTACAAGAGAATTTAGGCTCGCGAGGTCCCAAATGGACCGACTTTCAAGCTGAAGTAGGTGAAGTTGGCGTGGAAGTGGAGAAGATGATCTACAGGGATTTGATGGAAGAGGTGATGAGGGATCTAAAATACTCGAGCTCGTGCAGATACCTGTCCAGGCTCTTCGAAGCCGGCAGCGGCCCTCGTCGACAACTGTTTACTTAGAGAACGCTTTTGCCATCAATTTTTGTTCAATTTGTGAAAAATGGAGAGACATGGGATGAGTTGCAACTTGAAATAACAGCTCAATCGCCCGTTCTCTTGACAAGGACTCATTTCATAATTCAAAATATGTTTTCACTTCAGAAAAACCTGAAGCTCAACGGACTCGCACCATCCGCTCTCTCAGTATGTACAATCCAGCTCTTAGTTCTAGACTTATAAATTGCTTGCACAAGTTCTTCAGTGTTAACAACTAGGTACGTATCCATGAGGGTGTTCTAAATAATCAATCGGTACTGTGACAGTTTAAAGTTTGGATAAATCATACAGCATTTCAACCATTATCGTAGTAACATCAGAAGAGGTGGCCACAAGCTCCTTTACATCCACACAACGGTGGATGCAGACATTGTCCCCCGCCCCTGGCCCATATCTGCTCCTTGCCTCCACCATAACCGTGAGATCTGCTGCTCATTTCCAAGATCACAGATCTCCACAGAGTTGATCGGGGTGCGGTATCGATGGTGGTGCTGTGAGTACTCGCGAGTTCCTCCAATTATATATAAGCTGCTACCCACACTTTCACAAGCAAATCCAAACTTGGAGTAAGGGCGGGCATATAACTCCCCACCGGGAAAGTGCCCCAGTTGGCGCCACATGTTTAGATGCTGGTTGTAATGCATCAGTCTTTTCTGATGCACACAAATGAGTTCTCCATTTACGACGGCGCTAGGCGCCATGATCTGATCAGGCAAGAAACAAACTGCTCAGGCTAAAAACAAATTATCACCAGTTACATATCAGTTATTTTTAAGCTCTAAAAAAACCTTAGCAGATGTGTCCAAATTGCAACCGAAGTATCACACACCTTGTTGTCGTCGAGGCACATGTTTGGCACGAAACGCCATGTGTTAGTGTCGGCGTCGTAAACCTCGGCGGAGCTCTTCTGATTGTCGTCGTAATGGTTCTTCACGTACTCCCCGGCAATGACCCAGAATTGGCCGTCAAGCGCCACTCCTTGACAACTCGACCTCACAACGCCCATGCTCGAGATTATCTTCCATGTATCAGTGTGCGGATCGTAAACCTCGGCCGAGTCAAGGAACTTCGTGGTTCCTTGACCTCCAGCAACGTACAGTTTGTCCCCCACTACTGCTGCTGCCGCCCAGCTCCGTGAGGTATTCATGTTCGCCCCTTTAGTCCATTTGTTGGTAAGGGAATCGTATATTACAACGTTGCTGCATACCATACCTGCAAAATTGAAACAGCAGTGCGAGTTGTTATTGTCGTGGCCCATTCAATCTGTTAAGGGCTAAACATTTCAGACAACGAGGAATTGAACGATGGACTTTGGGAAGAAGGGAAGTGCACCTTCCGAATTGGGGCTATTCAACTTTCGAGTGCCGCCAATGAGGAAAAGCTTATGCCTAAAGCCAACACAAGCAAATCCTTGCCACTGCTGGTCTTCGGAGCGACCGGGTATGGGAGGGAGAATGGACCACTTGCCAGCAATCGGGTCGTATGCGCGGAATGGAGTTCCTTTGGGAGTCTGTGCGAGTACGTAAATCCATCCTTCCGACGTGCCCATCTGAATAACATTGTATCTGAGCTCAGTACCTCCAAAAACTCACAAGAAGCAAGAGTGGAAACAGTATTCTTGACACACCACTGAACCCCTATGCCCTACGGAAACCTTGAGAGTCGATTTCGATCTTGGAACGAGAACATGAAGGGCTTTAAATTAGAAACATTCAAGACTGCTAGGAGTGAAATTGATCACAGTGATAACATCTAATGTCGTCTAAATCAGAAATACATACGCAGCCGTAACAAGCATATCTCCGTACAGAGCTTTAATTTGTTTCTCTTTAATTTATTACAGAATCCTAGCTTCAAACTGCTCCGTCGGCAACAGAACAATCTCAAGCAGGAGATTCTAGTGCCATGAACCGTTCGGTCAGGATTCAAGGTATGTAAGAGCAATGCTGTCCTTCGTCCTCTAAATGTTAACATCAGATTAGGTTGGTTGTGGGAGCAGAAATAACGTGAGTCTTACTCTCACTGCCGTTAACACCAAGAGCTAATGCTGAAGGAGCTGAATTTTATTTCTCCTCCACATAGCCGATTCAACTCTCGATTCATTCCGTTTATCCAGATCCTGCAGAATCGATGGCAAGTTTTTCTTCATTTCTTTCTTTTTACGATTTTTTGTTTTCGTTTCTTTGTTCTTTTTCCTTTTTTAATCCCTCGAGCTCAGGCACCCTCAGACATTCCAACCAGTAAAATTCTTTTACACATGTCATACTCAAGAAGTGCAATTCGTAGTCTTCACGATCGGCGCCTGCTGTTGGTTAGCAAGGGACAAACGACACCATAACCAAGAGCTGCAGAAGCCAGATTCCCACCAGCCCCCCTACAAAGTACAAGCTGGGACGTCGACATCCTGCTGGTGATGGACCCAAATTACATGCCCTGACCAAGGACGTTATCCATGCGAATGAGCCAACTCGGAAAACGCAAAATACAGTAACCAGGAATCCACCCATAGACAGGCAACAGAAATCTTAATCACGACACAACACTGTGATTGGAGCAGCTCAATAATGTGACTAACATACAACGACGAATTTTGCCAGAGGTAACGATTCGGAAGATCAGTGGAAGCACACAAGGGCAAGAAATACCATGAGACGCAAGGAAGCCAGCTCTTGCCGCTCGGCCACACGCTTCCACGAGGAACAAACCAACCGCGTCATCGCCAGGCTTTGCCGAGGCAACCGAGCGAACACGAGCGTCATGGCATCGTCTGGCAAGCCAAGAATCAGAGCACCTTTCTCCTCCGCATCATCGGTTTTCTGCATCATCATCGGCGCTTGGGAATCCCGCCACCCAGGTAACGATTCTCCCACACCTTCATCTACAGATTTCACTCCTCGATCGTCGAGCGTCCGGTCGTCCTCCATGCACAAATCGACACTCCCCATCCTGAAGGTCTTGGGCGCACACCCACGACTCTCCCCAGTCGCTACCCCGACGGCCCCCATAGTTGAGCTAAATCAATCAAAATGACCCTCAAAATTGGACTCGGTCGGGCAAACCCCAAGCACCCTCCATAAAAAAACGATCAAACCCCACCCATGACGATCTACGCAAACCCCCACAGAGAAAATACTGCTGCTTCAGATTATCGTTCGAGCATTTCAGTTCGATCCTCTCACGATCCGGGATGTACTCACCCAGACCGAAATTTCTGAAAACCCTTTCCCCCGAATCCCCGAAACCATAATTAAATGAATGTCGTGGCTGAGATTAGAGAGAGAGCGAGAGAGGGCGACGAGAATGGTGTTGGTGAATCAATCCCGCACTGGGTGACGTCATCCTGGCTCTTCACCGAGTTAAAATTAGTGTTACTCTATATATGAGAATCTTACTCGAGACTAAGGTCCCCGATGTATTTTTATCTCTCATTCTGCTAATACATCTCTCTTCAAGTGTTGATCACACTGAGTATCAGGCTTGTGTAAACTTGTAACATGGTATCAGAGCATGGTTTGTTACTGAGAAGTTAGTGACGAGTAAAGAAGGTGAGCGATTCTCCCGTACTCAAGAGTAGAGAATAAACAGAAAGTAGAAAGAAAGTATTGTTGATATTACGGTAGTCACTATGGCAGATGCTAGAGAAAATAAGGTAGTCATACCATACCATAGAAACCTTGAATTGCTATGGTAGGAGAATCAAATAAATTGATAGGTCCACAAAACTATAATGTCTAGGGTCTAAAGATGAAAGTTGTCTTGAAGTAAGAGAGCATTTATACAATATATTACAACATCAAAGAGCATTACCAATGAACCACCTATAGGTAGCTCAACAATACCAACCTTATCCTCATATAAGATTTTTTTAGAGATAATAGAACTATTTATTATTATAATTGTAGTAAATCTAGCCACATTGCTTATGAATGACATAACAGTAGGTAGTATTATGTCTTGGCTTATTATATCAAAGACAATTTTTATACCAATGAAAGAAATATGTTAGCAAAAGTTGATCTATTTTATTACCAAAACCAAAATTGGTAAATGGATTCACTTTATTAGAGACAGAAGAAAGATTTATCAAATAGAACAATGGTACTTGGATAAAAGCATTAAGATAGTAAATGAAAAATTCTATTGAGTCAATGTTGTAAGTTCATCCACTGTCTATACAAATTCTGAATCAATAAACTTGAGCAATGTTTTATTTGTCCTTGCATTGAATTGCGATCTTATATCTCTTGAAGCATTGGCACATAATGGGTACACAATTGTATTCACAAATAAACAATGCTCAGTTTTTAATAACAATATAAATAAAAAAATATTAGCAATTGGATACTAAGAGTTTTCAAACAGACTTTATAAGTTTCATGATAAACAAATGGAAGCAATAATCAATATTATTAAATTAGAGGATAATGTACAATTGTAGAATAAACAATATGGCCATCTACATTATATACATCTTTAGTATTTATCATCAATAAGAAAGTTGAAGGATTTATTCTAATTTTATACAATGAAAGATATTTGTATTAATTATTTAGTAAGGTACCAACATTGAAAGCTCTTCTTGAAAGTATTATTACATTGATCTTCTATGGTACTATAGATCATTCATTTAGATTTAGTAGGATCTATTAGAATTCCATGATCAAAAGGATTAAAATATTGAGTTGTTTTTACAAATGACTATGCTTATAAAAGTTGGGTATATTTTATAATATGCAAGTAAATTTTTTTAGCAAAATTCAAGGAATTAAAAATACGAGTAGAAATAAAAAATTAAAAAATTAAAAAATTTTCTACGTTAGAATAGACAAAGATAGAAAATATTTATCAACTAATTTTAGTACATACTTTAGAATTATCCATGAATTTTTTTAGCTTAATAGCCTATCTCTACATACCAAAAGAACACATAGCAAAGCTCAAAAGCAAAATTTTCAAATGTTTTTACTTAGATTATGATGAAGAAAGTAAGATTTTAAAAGTGTTCAATTTTATTTGCAAAAAAATATTCTTAAGTTGAGAACCACCAAGAACCATACTCCCAAAATTATAAGATCATATTGAATAATAATCACACAAATATCTTATTAGAAATAAAAAAATTGAATCTTATGTAATATCATAATTATTTTATCTTTGCAATTAAAACAAAATCAAAACTTCCTAACTATATGTATGCAATTTAGACTCTAGGTTGGAAAGATGCAATAAATCAAGAAATAGATACTATACAAAAAAATAAAACATAGAAATTGATTAACTTATTTAAGGGTCAAATTTCTATATCAACCAAGTAGATATTTAAGGCAAAGTTAGGCTTGGATTGTACTATGAGAGTTTGAACAAGAGGATGGAATTAACTTCTTTAAGATATTTTCTCTTGTAATTCAATGGTCTACTATTAGATTTATAATAGCATTAGTTACAAGAAGATATTGGAAGTTACAACATTTAAATATTAATACAATATATTTGAATAGAAAAATTATAAAAGAAGTTCACATGACAATTTCATTGGAATTTAAAGAACTAGGTAATAAAGAAAATGTGTGCAAATTAGAAAGGGCATTATATAACTTATACCAAGCTCTAAGAACTTGGTATGGAATATCATATACATATCTAATTTACCAACGACTCTAAAGAAATCAAGAGAATCTAAATATATATATATATATATATATATATATATATATTTCTCAATTCAGAGAGATAAATACATTATTATCTTAGTCTATGTCAATGATATCACAGTTAAAAGAGATAAAAAAAATAAAATACCTAGATAATCAAAACAAATTTAAAATGATAGATTTGAGAGATACTTATATGTATCTCAGAGTAGAACTACACTATGACAAGTAAAGAATCTACTTCCATCAATGTAGATACATTGTGAAGTTACTAAAAAGATTTAGTCTTACATATTATAAATCTTTGAATGTTTCTATGAACCTAAAAACCAAATTAACAAAATAAACTAATACTTCAACTATTGATATCAAAATCTACTAAAGTCTAATAAAAGTCTTGTGTATGTGACCATCAATAGATGGAATATCTAGTATGCAATAGGGTGTCTATCTCTCCACATGAAAAAATTACAAATATTCTTAGATATTTAAAAATAATCTTAGACTTTAGAATATTTTATCCAATTAAAAATAAGGAAGAATTATTTATTTGAGTACAAACTAGGTAGATAATATAGATTTACAAAAATTCAACTTCAATTTTTTTGTACAAAGTAAGATTAGCCTCAATTGTTTGCTCAAATAAATTGTAGCTAATATTATTGTTATCCTTGATAGAAGTAGAATATTGTATTTTTTCCAAAGCTGCTCAATATATAATATACTTCCGTCAACTACTAAAAGAATTAAAAATAAAAAAATGGACTAATATTGTTACTTTGGAACAACATAAGTATTATAAAACTTATATAAAACCTAATAATGCAAAAGCATATTAAGCATATTGAATTTGATCACTGCTTTATTCAACAAAAACATGAAGACAATAATATCAAACTGAGCTTTGTATTGATCCTTCAGCAATATGCATACATATTCATAAAGCCTTTAAGACCTTAGTATTTCATGAAAAATTCAGAAGAGGCTAGATTATTAAGAATACCAACTTCATTACAAATAAAAAATAATTAATAGTCATAACAAATATAATTCACAAACAACTTCACATATTGAGATAATTTAAGAGAGGATAAATAATAAATATAGAACCTAAATTCTTCTCAAATTCTCTATGTCCTACTATATTCTAAGCTTCTTGAATACATATTCCTTATAACCATAGATACAATGACTCAAAAAATTGTTTAAATGTTGACATATTTTGAAAAGTCTAGTGTATTACAGATGAATTGTAGTAAATAATGATACATAGTTTATATAACAAATAAAGTACTGCTTTATAACTACCAAATGAGCTTAAATTGAAAAGAATACATCAAGTAATTATGGAGCTATGATCAATCTAATTTGAAGTAGTATTGAAACAATCTTTTGAGTGTGGTATTTAATTTTTGGATTCTATCAATTATTCAACATTATAGTATTTTATCATCATCAAATTTAATATGATAATATTATTACTAATCTAATGATATCATTAATGATTATTAGCATGCTATAAAAGTACCATTCTTAATTACAATTCTTAATATGAACATATTCTAAACTACCACATTTTAGGATCTTCTAAGATCTTCTATAAATTTTTAGAATCTTCTAGACACTTATAGAATCTTCTATAATCTTTTAGAAAGTTCCATAGGCTTTTAGAAGCCTCTTTAAACTTCTAAAAACTTCCATAGAAAGTACCATAGACTTCTATAACCTTCATTATAGTATAAATAGGAGTTATAAGACTACTTTTGCTATCAATCTCATTCTTTGTCTTTAATCTAAATATATTTCTTTGTTGGATTCTTGTGTCCTTGACAATTCTTTAAAAAATTATGAGACTCATTCCCAGCTCTCTCTTAGACAATATCACCTTTGCTCTTCTTCATTCTCAAAAATCTTATGGCCAAATTGCTTCTAAATTTGGCTATAGTAAAGCTAATATTTTTAATCTAGCAAAAAAAATCACTTTTAATAAAAAGAACTTTAAATTAAATAGACCAAAGAAGCTCACTATAGTAAATGAAAGGACAATTATTTGCCAAATCAACATTGACAAGGCCAAAAACATTGTTGAGGTTGCTAAAAACCTTAATAATATTATCAATAATTTTATGTCAATCCAATTCATTCGAAATATTCTCAAAAAATGGAATATGAAAGCCATGGTGAAGAAGAAAAAATTACTTTTATCTACCCCCTATTGGAAACAATGCTTGGATTTTTCTTTAAAGTATAAAGAATAGAGTATAAAAGATTGGGAGAGGGTTATTTGGTCAAATGAGACTAAAAGTAACAAATTTGGATCAGATAATAGAAAGTAGATGTAGAAACAAAAGGATTAATCCTTGCTTGACAAGAAGATCTAAAAAATAGTTAAGCTTGGAGGTAGAAACATAATGGTATGGGATTGTATGAGATGGAATAGAATTAGGAGGATGGCAGAAGTTGAAGAGAAGATGGATGCCAAGCAATTTGTGGAAATTTTTGAAAAAAAATGCTCTCTATTATTAAAAAATCTGACATTTCTAAAGAAGAGGTGATTTTTCAGCAAGATAACAATTCCAAACATAATTCAAAACTAACATGAAAGTAGTTTGATCATCATGGGATTAAAGTAAAG